ACCTAGATTATGCCATCAGGAAATGATCTAGGAATTAAGGCTAGTCAAAAGTTCTTTGTGTTTTAGTTACCACATACAATATAAAGACCTGCTATTGTGGTTCAGTGGTAGAATCCTTTTCTGCCATGCGGGAAATCTGGGTTCAATTCTTGGATGTGTATACAACTATAGCCATTGAGGCACTAAACATCTGGACTCAGTCTGACCTTTGGATTTTGCCAAAGGTGGGGATGGAAGATCTGGGAAGCTATACTCCTGCCTATATGTACATGTCAAAGGTCCTGGTGACCTCTCAAGTATATGCCATAATCCAGAGGGATTGACTGTTGCCTACTACTACAATATAAAGGCTATTTTATAATGATATTCAACAGATGTAATGCAAAGCAGAATTTAACTTGATTCTCCTTTATACCTGTATCTAATACAATTGCACTTATGAAGCAGGCAAAAAGAAATCACCACAATATTTGAATGTAAGTATTTTGCATTAGGTTGGTTTGATTAAATAATTACACATGTAGATGAACACTCATACTCTATACACAAACACATTCATGCAGAAACACAGATGTGAAAATGCAGTGGAAAGGGAAAAACACTGAAGAAGTTAGTAACTATTGACAAAGTCTGGACAATTACCATATTGAGCAGTAAAGTCTTTTCAATGTCATAAGATAAATTAAAGACATTTTGGATGCAGATACTGGTTCATTTTTACCCATCTTTAGAAATAAAGAATTTAAGAGGATTTGAAATGTTTAGATGCACATTCTTACACTTTTGCTTTAACTCAGAAATCCAAACATTCTGTGATAATTACTATTAAAATGGGAGAAGAGAATAATGTACACTTTTATTCTGAGGTTTGGCAGGGGCAACTAAGTGAATACAGGATGGTTTATCTGATTGAGGAAACTAGTAAAACTTAGATATTAGGCCTGTGTGAGTCAGCAGCGATCTGATTCAGCTTCAGATCCAGCTGCTTCTGATGGCTGCGATCCGATCCGGAGCTCCAGACCGGGTTTCCGCCTCGATCCATCTCCTCGGAGATCTGGCCATAGGGTATAATGGGGAATCAATGAAATATCTATAACTTTGTTTCTTGTCTGATTTGGATGAAACTTGCAGGAATGGTAGTCTCTGATTGGAGCATAAAACATGCCAAGTTTCATGAATATCGATGCATGGGTTTGTACCCCAAATTTTTGAAAGCCAAACTCACGTCGTGGCTGTGTGTTACACCACAGTTGGGTGAAAACTGCAGGAGTGGCAGCTCTTACTGAGGCCACAAAGCCTGCCACGTTTCAAGAAGATTGGTGCAGGGGTTTGGGGGGAACTGTTCCTCAAGCTGCGGACAAGCAAAACTCATGCCATGGGTGACACTGCATGTGTTAAGGTGTAGCGGGGTGACAGCTGCAGGGATGGTGGCCCCTCCTGTGACACCTGCCAGCTGTGGAGAAGATGGGTGCAGGGGGGTTCTGGGGCCCTGCACCCCTAGCTGCTGACAGACAAACCTCGTGCCAAGACAGTGTCCGTCTTGGGGCAGTTGATTGTCTGTATTGATTCTTTCCTCTCCTTAGCCTGGTTTTGTAGGTGCTAATTGATGCTCGTTAAGTCGTTATGTAGTTGCTAGGTCCTGTGTATTCAGCTGGTCCCTGAGTCCCTGCTCCCGGAGTGAATCATGATTGATTGATTGGTAACTGGTAACACAGCAGCTTAGCAGCCAGGCCTGGAGTAGTGTCCCCCCTCCCCACCCCAAGACGGACACAGTCAGTCCCACAGCAACTATGGCACAAGTTTTGTTTGTCTGCAGCTTGAGGGGCAGTTCCCCCCAAACCCCTGCACTGATCTTCTTCAAACTTGGCAGGCTTTGTGGCCTCAGCAAGAGCTACCACCCCTGAAGGTTTGAACCCCCTGTGGTGTAACACATAGACATGACATGAGTTTTGCTTTCAAGAATTTGGGGTGCTGTTTCCGATCTTCTTGAAACTTGGCAGGCTTCATCCTCTCTGCAGAGTCTACAAACTGTACAAAAAACAACAAAGTTATAGATATTTTATTGTTTCCCTATTATACCCTATGGCCAGATCTCTGAGGCAGCTCCAAACCACTTCGGGAAGCCTAACGAGGCCAACGCTGTGACCCGGATATGCTGCTTCAGACCCCAAAGCATTGGAAGCTTCTCTAGATCTGAAGCTCTGTCCGAAGCCTTGCACAGCCCTATTAGATATTATGGAGGAAAGGAATCTCTTGAAAACACAATATTTGGAAGGAAAGAAATAGATGTTAGCAGACTATTTGAATCAGTGCTGGAAAAATGGAGGGGGGAGCATTAAATAGTACTAAGTTAGGGATAAGCCTTTTATGAGGCTAGAAATAGGAATGCTTAGAAGCATTTGCACATGGAGTTAGATAAAACATGATGTTGTGAAGGACAATTGCTTATTAAAAAAGAGAGGACAGAAATGATAAATCTTGATAGTTTTACATTAGTCTGGTGTCCTAAATCTTTCCTGTTATAAATGACAAAACAACTTGAGACCAAAAAGGCAAGATGTTATCAGCTATTATCGTCAAAGGGATACCCTGCCTGGTAAGAATCTAGAGAAGTGACAATAATCTCCATTTTTCCTTGATAGAAATTAATACATTCTTTATGGTAAGACTCAGCTACCCACCATTGCATTATCTGAAGCCGTTTCTTTACCAGCAGGATACTGTGACATATGGTTTAATGCCTATTGATTTTAATATACTGACTGAAATGAGGTGCTAGTAGAAAAAATATACTCTTGACCCCCATTATCCTACTAGCTTATGCAGAGCTTCAAGCATCATTGATTGATTTTTGTCCTCAAAGTTCTTCTCTGCATTAAACCAAGGTTTTGGCAGAACAGTTCCAAAGGAATATGATTGCATTGGAACCTTCTTCAATTCCTTGAACCAAACACCTTCATGTTCTTTTAGATAAGGACTGCATCTCTTCCTAACTCCAATATCAATGAAGCGCTCTCATTCCCCACAATACATGGATCTCTACTCATCAGTTTTCCAACAGACCCGTTGTCTTCAGTAATGCTCCCACCCTGAGAGTCTCATGCACCTCTGAACTTATTAGATTCAATTATTCAAAAACCAGTTCAAAACTTGCATTCTTTCCCTTTCTCCATGACACTCATGAGATAGAAGAAGAAAGCAAGTTGGCGATTCAAAGGGAAAGAAGAGAGGACAAAAACCTGTTGAGATCATGTGATGAGAGAAGAGAGAAAAGTTATCTGAGAGAGACAGAGAGATTCCTGGGAGGAACATTCAAGTTCAAAGGTCAGGACAGGGCTGCAGATGCATCCAGATTTCTTCATTCTTGTCCAAAACCTCAGAAACCTTAGAGGTTCAGATATCGTGTTCTAATTGATTTTTTTATAACTTTGTTACTGTGTATTCATTTTCTTTTATAATATCAGCCTTAATTTTGCTATACTAACATAGACATTTCCAACATTTTGTATTCAAATTGCAATTTATATAATTCATTTTTAATTATAAGATAGAAAAAATTATCATTTACAAACATGCTTAATTGCAATTTAAGAATTCATATTTCTCTCCATAAATTGAGCAAGTACAATATCCAATTTTAATAGACAAGAATCAAAGAAACAGTATTTGTATTTAGCTCAGATTTAGGCTTAAATACTATACTCTGACCAGATTATGGATTAAGATACAATGGCAGTGAGCTGTTCTACAATATTTCCAGAAACATTCACACCTGAAAATATGCATCTTCCGGTTTTGCACTTGATCCACGATCAGGAACTATAAAGATGAGTTTGGATCTATGGACTTGAAACCTAAGAACCCTGAAGTTGAAAATGACTGGAATCAGGTTTTATTTTGTTTTTGTTTTGTTTTTTAATCTCTGGATAAAAAATTAGTATAGAAAATTGATTATCTAGATGAATATAGGCAAGAACCAGGAGAACTAGTCTTAAATCTTGAATGAGCAGAAGACTAAAAAACTTGAGCCAGAGTTGCAAGAGGACAATATTAATTGCTGAAAGAACATTTGCAATTTGGCATATGATCTAGAGTTCATTAAGGACTTTTAGCCTCATATATTGTATGTGTGCATGTGTGTACATGCCTACAGAGAGAGAAAGTCAAAGTCAGAGATACAGACAGACAGACACAGCCAGAGATTCGGCATGTGTGAAACAGCTAGTATTCGCTTCAGATTTGGCCAATTTGGGGGACAGTGATTTGATTTGGTGATTTGAATCACTGTTCTGAATCGATTTGGCCGAATCTGATTTGGAGATTTGGCAACGACCAAATCGGATGAGTATTCAAATCAGCCCCATCCCCCACCCACTCTCAATGGCTGCCCCGCCCGCTCTCCCAGCTCCCGGCTTTTTGAAAAATAAGCCCCTGCTTACCGGCTGCTGCTAGGTTGGGGGAAGATCCCCACTGCCCTCTGTTTCTCTGCCCCAGCTTCTGGCCCTTAAAAAAAAGCTCTGACTCACGAGCTCCTACCAGGCTGGGGGCGATCCCCACTGCCCCCCTCTGCCCCGCACTGCATGGGGAGCTCTGTCACAAGCCCCAAAAGCCCCAAGGCTGCTGCAGCAGCCAGTGAGACTGCTGCCACTGATGCTGCCCTGTGCACTGTTGCCATCCAATGCCATTCAATGCCTATGTGTGTATACACGTGTGTGCTTGTATACATACACAAAATACACACACACACACACACACACACACACGTCATAACTAAAAGAAATTTATCCCCACATCACTAGGAAAAAACGAAACTTAAGCCTTCTGAAATTTATGCCTATGTCACTAACAAGAAACAAAACTTAAGATTGGTCAGGGTGAAAGGGGATATCCCTGCCATAAATCCCTAGCGAAAACTGCTATATAATTGGAGATGCAAACAAGAACCAGATGACGTGGCTTAAATCAATTGGTTATAACACAAACAAAACCAGCTTGCACTTCCGCCCAAATCGGAGAACTCTGGGCACACAGCAGAGTAAACATGGTGGACTGATCACCCACCAACGACTCCATGTCATCAACTGTCCCGACATAACCAAAATCCCCCTGCAGGCTCGTTAACTCCTTCACGGTGCCTTGTTCGTCTCACTGGCTCGATCGTAACCTAATACGTATGCTCGGCTGTAACTAAAGCAAGTCTGCTACCTGCATCGTATTTCATCCTGAGGCAGCGTAAGTAAACAATCTCCTATAACCAACACGCATCTGTGCCTGGTTAATTTCACTCCATCCATTAATTACCCCCCTGTCCAGTCAACCCTCTGAACACTCCGGTGGGAGTCAGAACGCAGCTGCCGGCAGCTGCTCTGATTCATGACATGGTGTCACAAACAGGATCTGGGGGAAATGTGATGGAGCTGGAATTAATTAAGAACTGCCCCTGGTGCAGTGGGGGGCGCCGCACAAATAACGCGGATGAACTGTGGGTCCATATCGCCTATCACCAAGCAGGTGGAGCGGAGACGGGGTGTGTCGGTGGTTACTTCTCGCTAAAAGGGGACGAAGGGGTCACCAAGGAATGGGTAACAGATCTAAGCCTTGGGGCATCTGGCTGCGTTATGGGTGGCAACCGGGTTCTATACAGGCCACGGGAGGAAACGAAAACTATCTCCCTGGCCCGAGTAAAACCGGCGGGCACAACAAATCCAACTCCTGCCCAAGAATACGCCCGCTGTATACGCCATGTACAGGAGGGCGGGGAACTGACGCCGGCCGACAAATTTAGTTGTCCAACTCTGGTGCTCGGATCGCGCGGCCATGAGCTCCTAACTCAACTCCGCGAAAGTTTGGAAACTGAGGGCCACACTGCGACAAAATGGGCGGGCCCAAAGTGGGACAAAGGAAAGATGATAAATGTGCTATTCCGTGCCTTTATGGGTTTGTTGCAGGAGAATGCGGACTTAGAGGCTCAGCTGGCCACAACTGGGAAATTGGCCGCGGATGCGGTGGTAAAGGATGGTCCCAAGCAACCACACGAAAATGGCACTGAGGAAAAAGGGACGTATGCGCCACCGCCCGAAAATGGCGCTGCAGAAAAGGGGAAGCGCGCGGAATTTCCCCAAGGGGAATGGTCAGTCACGTCACCCGCAATTACACCCCCTGAGGCGGTGCCAGTCATGAATCCGCCCCCTTACAGAGGGGGATGGCCAGCCGCGTCATTGCCTACGGCCCCACCTCCCAAAATGACGCCACCCGCGATTCCACCCCCTGAGGTGGCACCAGTTATAAATCCGCCCCCTTACGGAGGAGGGAAGTTATACCCGGCCCTCCCGGTCAACCCCAACCCCACCCCGGTCCAGGCTCACCCGATAGCGCTGCTAAAGCATAACATAGACAACCAAGGGATGGCACATACCACCATGACGTACCGCACCCGTACCCGACCTGAAATGCAGGACTTATGCAAAGAATCGAAACTAAAACCAGGTGAAACTTTGGTGGTATGGTTGGGGCGATTGCTAGTGGAGTATGGGTCGGAGACGCGGGACCAAGATGAGGCCAGTTTCTTAACGCGTCAAGCCACCTGGAGCGGGGGGCATGCCACTGACTTAAACACAATAACGGGCAACACCCACTGGCCCATTCCAGTCCCAGCTCTCGTTGCAGGTCAAGTATGCCACAAATCCTATGCCTGGCATAATGGACGGCCGCTGAAGCCCTCCGCAGAACAGCTACTGCTGGCCATTATCGGAGTATCCTACGCATCCTGGAACCCCTGGGCGCATCATTTGGAACTACCGCAGCAACAACGTGATGGGCCGTGGCCCCACCGTCACCTACCAAACCCTGGCCAGGTCCCAACCACGATGGGCAGTATTGAGGCAAGCGTAGAGCTTTACGGAGGAAAAGAAGCCATAACGCTCAGTCTTCTCCTGGGCCCGCTGGCCGGTCAGCCGGTCAGGAATCTCTAAGTGAACTGCCGCGACTACAGGTCTTAATGGACCCTACAACCACAAGCCCCGACGAGGCTGGACCACGATCCTCGGTGTGCCCAGTCAAGCACCTGGAACCGGAGCGGTGTCAGCCTGGCCCTCGGCGTGAATTGCAGGCCCCGCCACCAAGGATGCTGGAGGAGAGGGCCATGTTTGGCTTCCTCCTAAACAACATGCAGCTTACCAAACAACAGCTGCGCCTCTTGGGAGACGAAGACCAGCGACGCCTAGCGTCTGCAATGGGGTTTAAGTACCAAGACAAGCCAAAAAATGAGTGATGGCCACCGGTCACACCGGCGGCCTGCTCAAGTCCGATCCCACAGACCCTCGCCCCTACGCCGAACTTGTCGTCTACGACGCCACTGACCCAGCTATACGACGCAAGGTCCTCTTCCTTTTGGACACCGGGGCGCAAATCAATGTCATCACCCCGACGACGCCTCATGCGAAAACCAAAAAGGCCATCAAGGTCCAGGGACTACATGCCATCGCTGTCGCAACAAAAGTAAAGTTTACAGTGGCCGGGTACCACCGCGCATTGGAGGCAGTCCTAGGGGGCATCAACATCTTGGGAATCCCCGGTCTCAGAGCACTCGAACCAGAGGAACAAGTGTTACAAGCTCTTCCAATCTCCGTTTCAAAAATGGATCAGCACAGACCTACACTTCACAACACATCTACGTGGCGGTACAAGCCAATCCCAATGAAGGGGCCTCTACGGGAAGCCCTTGTCACCCTTCTACAGCGAGGAGCCCAATGGAAGGGGCCTTGCGGGAAGGCCCTTGTCACCCTGCTCCAGCGACTCGAGCAACAGGAATGCATAAAACCAGTGGCTGCCAGTACTCACTTATCACCAGGATGGGAAATCGCCGAACCTGGAAAACCCAACGAAGTCCGGCTAGTAGTTGACTACCGCGAGGCCAATAAAAGGTGCCAGCCACTCATGAAGCCCAACGCTTCCACGCTACCACAATGCCTGTTTGAAATGGTGCAGTTTCAGAAGGGCCAATGGTATGGCACGACCCTTGACCTTAAAGACATGTTCTATTCCATTCCAATTGTTGATAGCGATGGGATCCTAAACATGTGTGTCGAAGGGACCGTGTACCGGTGGACAGTTTGCCCACAGGGTTACCGTAACGCCCCAGCGCTAGCCACTAGCGCCATGAACGACACACTCAAGGACTTCCGTACCTTTTACACCTTGCCCGAAAAAAGCGAATTAAAAATCTGGAGCTATGTTGATGACCTTGCAATTATGGGTCGCTGAAATCACCAAATGCCTAACCAACCACCTCCATGACAAGGGATGGACCGTCAACCTAAAAAAGTCTAACCTACAGCCCACGATGGACATCACGTTTCTGGGCACCAGGTTTACCGGCGCTACCAGATCGGGTGTAACACATGAAACCCCAGATCTCGGCCCATTCGAAACGCCACTACCAACAAACAAGAAGCAGCTCCAACAACTTTTGGGACACCTAAATTGGTACCGACATTATATCACCCCGCACCACCTCCCGATACTGGCTAGACTCCAGCGACAAACTCACGATAAATCGCGGAAAGCCACGCCCTGGATGGGGAAGGACAAAAAGGACCTCCATAATCTTCTACATGCCATTAAAACCACACCACTTTACGCACTTGATTTTACCGAAACACTAACAGTGACTCTAGGAAACACCACCAACCATGTGTGGGCCACTGCCCACAACCCCCGAGGCGAGTTAGTTTACACCTCACACAAAACTCTTCAAGCAGCTCAGCATCGATACGGAGCCATGGGAAAGATTCTGCTAGCAGGACAACTCATGGAACTGTTATCTTATGGACATGGAACACTCCAAGCACCCGCCACCACTCTTCTGCCCTTGCTGAACACCGAAAAGGTCGATCCACAATTCCAAGGGGAACCAGCTACTTGGAATGAAATAATACTCAACCACCACTACCACTGGTGCTGCTGAAAGTGCGAAGACTTGCCGCCTAACCCCAACATTCAAAAGGACTCCGTACCCACCCTCTACGGGACTATAGCCCCAGCCTGGATGGCGTCTGACGGCACTTCTCGAAATGGAGGAGGCTACGGGTTCTATTGCAAGCCGTGCCATGATACGGAAATGTTCAGCGCCCCTGAAGGGGCCACAGCTCAAAGGAACGAACTCCTGGGTTTCAAAGCCGTTATTCGACACTGCCTCCAACATCATGACGGGACGCTTCCAACTCCCGTCATAGCCATCAATTCCCAGTACGTCTACAAAATTGTTACAGGCATGGCTACAGCGGCGGAAAACTTGGAGGATTGGGAGGAAATCTGGGACATGCTATCAAGGTTTACCATTCAACCGCTAGTAAAGCACACTAAATCACACCAACTTGAAACTGACCCCGTGCATGAAATCATCGACAAGCTCCTAGAAGACCCTCTTCGGAGTGATGTCGTTTTGGCTGTCAAAACGGTTGATCCCAAGGCCTATTCAAACCCATTTCTCATGTGGCTTCACGAACACTGGGGCCACCCAGGACCAAAAGCTAGTCACTTACGCTGGCGGTCTACAACAGTGACCCCCGCACCCTATGGAACACAGTCTGATTGGGAGCGGGTATCTCAAGCCTGTGAGGCATGTGCCAAGGAAAAGTGTTATCGAACGAAGCATCAAGTCGGAGCACTAGACGCACGACATTTCGCACCCGGGAAAGTCTGGCAGGTGGACCTTCTAGGACCTCTGCCCGGAGCCAAGCCACCAAACAAGGGACTAGCCGTCGTTGACCTGGGCACACGACAACTACAAGTGATTCCTCTATGGAAAAGCAATGCCACAGCTGTTATCACTGTGCTAACCACCGTATTCGCTACTTGGCAAGCTCCTAAAGAAATTCAGTCAGATGGGGGACCTCCGTTCAACTCCGTGGTGCTCGACAAGTTTGCACGTCTCCATAACGTTACCTGGCAACTTCACCTCCCCTACCATCCCCAATCGAATGGAGTAATAGAAAGACGTACTGGACTCTACAAGGAACAACTGCGTCTACGGGGAGGAGGCACATACAAAAATTGGACTAAGCACAATCACGACATCCTTATCTCTCTAAATGAAAACAAGCCTCTTTAGGATGAAGTTGAGCCGCAAAAGGCCTCACCGTGGGATCCAAAATTCACTCCGGACGAGTTGGTTTGGGTCTCCATTCCCCATCCTCACCAAAGACACCCACGAGTACACAAAGGAGTTATATGTAAACCCGAACTGTACCCAAACACTTACTCTGTATACCTTGATGACAGTAACAACCAATCACCAATTTTAGCTCATCACAATTGGCTCACCCATCGCTCCACACTCCAAACAAACTAATTGTCGTAAACCCAGTTACTGCTCTCGTTTTATTTTCCAGGTCCGGCAGTGAGCACGACGGCCATATACAACAGCAGCCCGTCACAAGAGCCACTGGAACATCGGGCCGCTCTGACCTGGCACTTCCCAGACCACCATGGGGGCGCCTATCGTGCTGATCCTATTAAGTGCCGTTGTCACCTCGGTGCCTCCTCCGGACCCTCCAACTCGATCCTGTCTCTCCTGTCGGTTTGGGTCAACATCACCGGATCCGATAAAGAGTCGGGATGTACCGCATGTCTACGCCTTCCTCTTTCTGTCAATGACCCGGTATTAAACCCCTACCCCGAGCCCCTTAATATTACTGGCTGGTTTGAGGCTCAAAACCATAATTCTCACCGAAAAATCAATTTAATCTATCTGGTGCCCGGAAGCACATCCGGACGGGTACCCTGTCAGTATCAGTGGCCACTCCCTTTAACTTTAGACCAAATGAATGCCCCTAATTGTTCGGTGGGCCTTACAAATTGGGAAAACTTACTCCAGCGACTAAATGTCACTGGTCTGCCAAATATGACCGCCTCTATGCCAATCAACTGTTCCGAAATACCATGGGGGATCCACACGCAAGGGGTAAATTGGGCCAGAGATGATCACTCGTTAACTTGGGATCCTAAAAAATTCACGCCCGCTTGGTATCTAGCACTTCCCCCAAATCCAGCAGCAAGTACGTCTCAGTCAAATAACCAAGGCCCGGTGACTAACACTCTCCGATCCCACACACCACTAGTCTTTTGGGACGAGTCGCTAGCTGTTAACGTGTTGCAAGACACCGACTGGCACTCGTATTATTACCCCATATTGAGAGCAACTAGGCTCAGCCAGTGGTGCCATAACCTATCTGCACCCGTCAACGCTTCTTCCCTACCCGGTGAAGTAGAAAAAACCGTGTGGAAGGGACAAAGCTGTAACACCATATACACCCCAGCCCCACGAGGGCTGCTATGGGCTTGCTCAGATAGGCACTTATACACAACTCTGCCGGCTACCCTGTCAGGTATCCAATGCTTTTTAGCCACGGTAGTTTTTTGTCCCCCCCTTTACTCTAGTACAGCTTGAGCCCCCAGCCCGATGATACGCCATCGTTATAAACGAGAAGCCACCTGGAGCACCCTTACCGGTAGCGAGCAGGTCCTTAAATTTGCTCAATGGGCTATAGAAGGCTCGTTTGTGTGGAGTGGAATCGGCATTGGTCAAGCATGAATAGCAATAGCCCAGCTGGCGGAACAAGTTGAACAGTTAACCAACCAAACTGCTGACAGCTTCAATTTACTCAACCAACAATTACAGGCCACCTCGCACATGGCAATGCAAAACCAACTCGCCTTAGACGCTATGCTCATCTATCAGGGTGGGCTATGCCAGTTCCTTAACCTCTCTCACGATTATTGCTGTGTTAGTATCCCTAATGTCTCGCTTCCCCTCGATAAACAAGTCGAAAAAATGCGAAACATTGCCAAAAATACAAATCGCATTGCCAGTCTGGGTCAAGGATGGCTATCCAGCATTTTCAACTATTTTGGATGGGAGGGCTCTTCTTGGCTAATGTATTTGTTAACACCCCTAATTACTTTGTTGTTACCCATTTGTGCTATTGGCATTGGTCTTAGTATAATTTGCTGTTTTGTCCAATATTTTAAAAACAAGCTTATTTCGCTTTCTGCTTTTGTATACACCCGCTTGCCATTAGATGACTCCAGTGACAATGAGTATGACGATATGAACGAGCTGTAGCCTAACTCAAGTAGTCACCTGCTGTGCCATGGGCAAGGGGGCATGTTATAACTAAAAGAAATGTATGCCCACATCACTAACAAGAAACAAAACTTAAGATTGGTCAGGGTGAAAGGGGATATCCCTGCCATAAATCCCTAGTGAAAACTGCTATATAACTGGAGATGCAAACGAGAACCAGATGACGTGGCTTAAATCAATTGGTTATAACACAAACAAAACCAGCTTGCACTTCCGCCCAAATCGGAGAACTCTGGGCACACAGCAGAGTAAACATGGTGGACTGATCACCCACCAACGACTCCCCATCATCGACTGTCCTGACGTAACCAAAATCCCCTTGCAGGCTCGTTAACTCGTTCACAGCTCGTTAACTTGTTCATGGCGCCTCGTTCGTCACACTGGCTCGATTGTAACCTAATACGTATGCTCGGCTTAATAACTATACTCCAATCATTTGGGTTGGTCTAATAAAAGATATTAAATTCACCCAAGGAACCTTGTCTGCCTATGTCCTTAGACCAACACGGCTACAACCCAAACCCCTGCAAAAACAAACCATTGCATAACCTTGTTTTGTTCAGGGTTAAAGTTATAAAGATTTAGCTAACTTGTATCATTATAGGAGCATGCAAACACAAGAGTTACATTGTAACAGCTTATTTTAACTTCCCTTTGGCAGCTCTGCCTCTCCTTTTAGAAGTGGTTAAAAGTTATATTTGTCCACAGACACTGACTTTTATGCCTTTGTACAAATACTGAAACCACACAAATATTTATATTGAAGTTGTAAGAACTAGGAACAATTAGAATTAAATAAGTCCAAATTTACAATGTGTCGATGAAGAAAAGGAATAATGCATATAATCTGCACATAGCACCATCTGTTCACCATTAGCTCACTTCGAAAGAAATTAGGCCATACTGTAAAATGATCGTACTGTGACATTGCCACCAGGCATCTAGTAAAAACTAAACAGACTAATTTTCCAGAGAAAAATAAAGAGAAACTACCATATATACATATATGAATAAAAAATAACCCAGAATGCCCCAATGTAGTTTACAAGAGTATAGATTCAGGAAAGATATTTTTCATGAAATAGTATCTCAAGTTCAGCAAATCATAAAAAAAAGTATTTGAACTAAAATTTTATCAAGATATGCAGG